GCTGGGTCTATTGAGTAGCCATCGGAGCGCGGGGGTCAGTCGTTTATGAACCTCGAGAACAACAATTTGGCATAACCAGGGCACTGCTTCGCAGAAATGTCAGTCTCCACGCTGGTGCCTCCATCAAACGTTGCGGGAAGATGCGTGGCCATAGGGTCGCGGCAGAGCAGGGACAGGAAAACCTTCATCCGTTCTCATTTCTGTCATCCTCCTCATCATCATCCTCCTCCCCTACCTCCTCCTTCTCCTCCTCTTTCTCCTCCTCCTTCTCCTTCCTCTCTTCCCCTTCAGTGGTACCTCTCAGGACGTTGTCGCGTGGTCCAGGGGAGCTTCGGGGAGTTTCCGGAACGTATTCGGAGACGTGTGGTGGTCATCGGAGGAGTTCGTCGGACGGGATTAGGACGAGGATAAATCCGTTCCAGAGCGTTTCGGAACGCTCTCAGAGCGTTCTGGAACGCTCTGAGAAGGCCGCGGCGCCTGAGACATCCTCCAGAACCGCCGGATCTCAGAGATTCTCGATTTATCTTCGCCCGAATTTATCTTCGTATTGGCTTCGTCTGAGTTCGGGGAGGGGTCCGAGAGGTGTTCGAAGGTTTTCCAAAGGCTTCGCAACTGTTTTTCGAGAGTTTGCAGGGGGGGGAGCCCAGAGGCTCCCAGGCTTGTCGAAGGCTTCCGGAAGTTCTCTGTCTGAAGGCGTCGTCTACCGTCAGTCCGCACAGTAAGGAGGAGCGACTTCCCAGGGTGACCCCTGCATCCTTCCCCTTCGGCCCATCCTTGGACGCTTTCGCTGGCCGCGCCCCGCTCGCAGAGCGTCGACATGGCCCTCCAAGGCCCTTGCATCCTTATCATGCGTCCTTACTGTACGGATTGACTTCATTGTCGATTGTTTCTGGGAGTGGAGCAGGACACGGATGAGATTTTCAGGGGGGGACGTGGGAGGGCGGGGAGGGAGATGAGGGAGGGACAGAAGCTCCAGGGGTGAAAAATGGGGAGGAGGAGGAGGAGGAGGAGGAGGAAGAGGAGGAGGAGGAGGAGGAGGAGGAGGAGGAGGAGGAGGAGGAGGCCTCCAGAGATGTTCGCAGGAGGGCGAGGCGAGGCGACGGAACGAGAGGAAGATATAGAAGGACGGGGGATGGATGGAGGAATGGGGAGCGTGGGGGCGGACAGGGAAGGAGGGGAGGGGGGGGCGGAGTCTGACGCTACGGGCTCATCCGATGGCACGCCGAAGAAGAGAGTTGTGGGAGGGAGCGGGGTGAAGGCGGAGAAGGAAAGGAAGGGGAAGGAGAGTGAGGTATCGAAGAGCGGGGGAGGAAGAAGGCGGACAGGCAGGAAAGGGAGAGGGAGAGGAGCAGGGGAGGGGGGAGGAGACGGGCGGGGGTGACGCGCGCAGGGAAGGGGGGAGGCGAGGAGAGGAGGGGGAAGGACGAGACGGAAGGAAGGGGGAGAGGAATGGAGGTGAGGTAGGAGACAGGAGGAGAGAGGAAGAAGAGAGGAAGGGAGAGAAAGGAAACGGAGAGGCAGGGAATCGGAGGGAATGGAGGGAGTGGAGGGAAAATCAAGGTCCACCTTCTCCACAAGAACAACCGCGTCCTTCACTGCCCAGGGACTCACACCTGGAAGCAGACGCCTTTCTGATGTCGATGTCGCGCCATGTTTCGTCTCGGAATTAGCCTGGCGACGGATCCAACCATCTGCAGCGGTGAGTCAAGCAGGGTATGACCACCTCCTCATAGGTGGCGCGCCGCGGGAAGGATGGGGCACGGCAGATGCGGATGGGGCCCACGAGGCTTGTGAAGAGTGATTTGACATGGGCTGGGAAACGCTTGCGAGCGTTGCCACGGGAGCCTTCGGTGGAGCTCCCTGTGGAGCCACAAGGCGTATGAGGTGTGCGCCGACATGGGTGGGGGACCGCGTGCGAGCGCTGCCACAGGAGCCTTTGGTGGAGCTTCCTGTGGGGCCACCCAACGTGTAAGGGGTGTGCCGAAATTGGCTGAGAGACGCATGCGAGCGCTGCCACAGGAGCCTTTGGTGGAGCTCGCTCCCTGTGGGGCCACGAGGTGTGTGACGGGCGTGCCGACATGGGATGGGGGACGCATGCGAGCGTTGCCTCAGGAGTCGTCGGCGGAGCCCCTCTGGGGCAACCAAACGCGTGACGGGCGTGCCGACATGGATTGAGGGACGCATGCGAGCGTTGTCACGGGAGCCTTCCGCGGAGCTCTTTGTGGGGCCACCAAACGAGTGAGTGGTGTGCCGAAATGGGCTTGGGGCGCATGCGAGCGCTGCCACAGGAGCCTTCGGCGCAGCTCCCTGTGGGGCCACGAAGCGTGTGAGGAGTGTGCCGAAATGGGCTGGGGGCGCAATCGAGCGCTGCAACAGGAGCCCCGGGCGGAGCTCACTGAGGGGCCGCGAAACGCGCGAGGGGTGTGCCGACATGGCTGGGGGACGCGTTGCCACAGGAGCCTTCGGTGGAGGTCCTGTGCTGGCACGAAACGTGTAAGGGGGTGCCGAAATGGGCTGGGGGGCTCATGCGTGCGTTGCCACAGGAGCCTTCGGTAGAGCTCCCTGTTGGGGTACGAAGCGTGTGGGGGGTGTGCCGAAATGGACTGGTGACGACGATGACGACGATGCTGGTGTTGCTGTTGCTGGTAATGACGAAGACGATGGCAATGACGATGACGATAACGATGCTGATACTGGTGCTGGTGATGATGGTGATGATGATGATGATGATGGTGATGATGATGATGATGATGATGACGATGGTGATGCTGATGCTGATGACGATGATGATGCTGGCGACAACGACGCTGACGATGTTGCTGATGATGACGAGGATGATGATGATGATGATGATGATGATGATGATGATGATGCTGATGATGATGATGATGATGATGATGATGGTGGCGATGGCGATGGCGATGGCGATGGCGATGGTGGTGATGATGGTGATGATGTGACAATGCTCATAGTTATTATTATGATGCTAATGTTGGTGATGTTGATGAGGAGGATGCTGATTATGGTGATGCTGATGATGATGACGATGCTGATGATGATGCTGATGCTGATGATGTTGATGATGATGACGATGGCGATGACGGAAATACATATGTTAAGGGAGGGGGTAATGAGACTGCGAATAATCACAATAATACGAGCAAGCATGAGTGTAAGAGCACTGTATGAGGGGAATACTAATCAAGATGCTTATGATGATGACGATAGTGGTGATGCTGGTGATGATGATGAGCATGATGAATATATTGACGATGATAATGATGATGCTGATGATTGTGGTGGTGGTGATGACGATGGTGGTGGTGATGATGGTGATGGTGCTGATGGTAGTGGTGATGATGACGATGGTGCTGCTGCTGTTGCTGCTGATGATGGTGATGCTGAACAGTCGTGGTGATGATGATGATGATGATGATGATGCTGATGCTGATGCTGATGAGAATGATGATTATGATGACGATGAACATGATGATGATGATGATGATGATGATGATGATGATGATGAGCTTGATGCTGATGATGATGGTGGTTGCGATGGCGATGGCGATGGTGATGATGGTGATGATGATGACGATGATGACGATGATGACGACGCCGATGATGATGATGATGATGATGATGATGATGATGATGATGGTGACGATGATGCTGATGATGGCGATGATGCTGGTGGTCGTAGTTACGCTGATGTTGTTGATGGTGATGGTGATGGTGGTGATGGTGATGGTGATGATGATGCCGATGATGATGGCGATGGGGACATGCGGAGGGCAGAGGCAGGCATGGGAGGAGGAGGAGGATATGACGCGGGGCCCTGTCTCTTCAAAACGGGTACCCAATTCAACACATGATGGTTGGGTAGAAACAGATGCTGCGTTCGCACTCGTGGAGTTCTCCGTAGCAGGGCATGTCTGTGTTGGGTCGAGTCTCAGGCAGAAAACGTTGCTGCATGTTTCGGCCCCTGGGAAGCCTTGCAAGCCAGAATGCCTGCGGTTCGACACCGAACAAGCAGCGTCGACGGTGAGTCCGGATGCGGAGCGGAGAGATGCAGTGTTCAGTAGGGGTGCCTTCAAAAAACAGTCGGGCTGCCTCAAAACAGTTATCTTGGCGAAATTCCCAACCATATGCAGTTGCGAGTATCGCGAAGCAGGTGTAACGAAGGAGGGGGGCCACGAAGCGTGTGGGTGGTGTGCCGAAATGGGCGCGGTGGCGCCATGCGGACCCTGCCATTGGAGCCTTCGGTGGAGCTCCCAATGGGGCAACGAACGTGTGAAGGGTGTGCCGACATTGGCGCGGTGGCGCCATGCGGGCCCTGCTATTGGGGTCTTCGGTGGGGCTTTCTATGGGGCCACGAAACGTGGTGTGCCGAACTGGGCGCGGTGGCCCACGAAATGTGTGAGGTGTGTGCCAACATGGGCGTGCTGGCGCCATGCGGATCCTCGCATTGTGACCTTCGGTGGAGCTCCCTATGGCGCAACGAAGCCTGTGAGGGGTGTGCCGAAATGGGTACGGCTGCGCCGTGCGAACCCTCCCACTGGAGCCTTCAGTGGAGCTTCCTATATGGCCACGAACGTGTGAGGGGTCTGCCGACATGTGTGTGTGGTGGCGCCATACGGACCCTCCCACTGGGACTTTCGATGGAGCTCCCTATAAGGTCACGAAACGTGTGAGGGCTATGCCGACATGGGTGCGGTGGCGCCATGCGGACCCTCCCACTGGGGCCTCGTGGAGCTCCCTATGGGGCAACGAAGCTTGTGAGTGGTGTGCCGAAGTGGACATACGGAGGGCAGAGCCAAGGATGGGAGGAGGGGGGAGCAGGGAGGAGTGGATGAAATGAGTCGCGGGGCGTTGCTGATTCAAAGCGAGGACCCAGCACCACGGGCTGGAGGGGGAATAAGCACGAACTTGCCCACCTTGGCAGTCGAATGTGCCCAATTGCACATGGCAAGGGTGTAGAAGGCTCCGCCCACCTCCTGGAGGCCCCGACCCGGCGGAATCTGGAGGAGGTCGAGGCGGACTTGGAGATGTGGAAACAGCGCATGGCAGAGTCGGCGCTCGAGTGCCTTGGGGGCAGTGAGGGAGGGAGGAGGGAGAGAAGAGGGAGGAGAGGGATAGAGGAGGAGGGAGGAATGATGAAGGAGGTGGGGGGAAGGGCAGTCGAGTGCCCGCGAGGTAGTGAGGGAGGAGAGTGAAGGGGAGGAGGAGGGGAGCAGAGAAGGAAGGAGGCGGGGAAAGGAAGCAGGGAAGAGGGGACGAGGAGATGGAAAGGAAGGAAGGAGGAGAGAGAGAGAGAGAGAGAAAGGGGGGAAGAAGGAGGAGGAGGAGGAGGAGGAGGAGAAGAGGGAGGAGCGAGGAGGGAAGAGTGAGGAGGGAGGGAGGAGGGAAGAATGAGGAGGGAGAAGGGAGGAGGGTGGAGGGAAGAGGGAGGAGGAGGCAGGAGGGAGGAGGGAGGAGGGGGGGAGGCGAGGAGAGAGGGCCGAGGGGAGGCATGAGCTCGGAGTGAGAGTGGGGAGGAGGAGAGAACGCGATCCAGCTCGGTCGATCATGCCGTCCTCTGCTAGCGCGATTGGCAACAAGACGATGGCCCGCAATCGGCTCGGCCTCAGTTCGGTCATTCCAGTGGTCCCCCTCCACCCCTCTTGCCATCCCCGGTTCCTCCTGTCATCGTCCTCGTCTCGTCTCGACGGCTGAATTATTTTGGAAATATTGTTAGTGCTCATGCCATCCCGCCGCATCCCAGAAGAGGGTGTGTGCGGCTTCCGATGTCGTAATCATGAGTTGTTTGCCGCTTCCCGTCGTGTTGCTCGCCTGTCTGTGTCGCTGATTTGTCCTCGTCCCCCAAGTCTGTTGCGGGCCTCCCAGGGGCGTCTTGGTGGCCTCAGGGGCGGCCTCGTGGGAGCCTTTATAAGGACCCTGCGGGCTTTGGGGGGCCCTCTGGGGGCTCCTTGGAAGCCTTTTTTGGGGCATGCTGAGGGTCTTGGGGTAATCTTGTGCTGCCCTGCGAGTTCCCCCTCGTCGGCCGCTCTTGGGCCCCTCTTAGAGCTCTCTTGGTTGCTTTTTTGGCGGTCTTGGGGGCCTCTTGGGGCACTCTTGGGCTGTCCACGGGCGGTCTTAGGGACTTCGTGGACCGTGATGGGCTGGTCCAGAGGAGCCTCGCGGACCGCCTCGGGCTTGCAGAGGCCCAGACAGGCGAGAGCGCGAAACTAAAAACAACTAGTTTGTAAACTCACAGGTTTTTGCGTCTTGAGGCCCTCTTGTGGGTTCTATTGAGGCCCTCTTGAGGCGTCTTAGGGCCCTCGTGGGCCGTACAAAGGCCATCTTGGGTGTCTTGAGGCCGTTCGGGCGTGTTGGCGCCCGTCTTGAGTCGCCTTGGAAGGCATCTGAGGCATCTTGGAAGCCACCGGTGTTGGATTTCGAAGCTCCGAGACCCCAGAGGTGCGTTGACAAGTTCGCCAGGGGACCTTCCCTGCGTAAGCGAACTGATTGATATGGAGGAAAGAGACAGGAGGAGGGATTACAGCCGAATGTCTCACACGCAGTTTACCACCGGCCAGCGGCGGGCGGCGGACAACTCGTTCAACATATACGATGAATCGGCAGCCAAATCACACACAGGTCAACGAATGCGGCAGTCGAATGCGAGATGCTCGCTTATGCTTTACTGGGGACGCAAATCGGCGTTGATTCAAGAGCCTGGGGAGATCACAAGAGATCTCAGTGCTCCATGAGGCCCCGAGAAGGCATTCGGAAACGTCGGTCGCGCGAGGTTGCAGCTTCGAATGGCGAGCATGCGCGCACCATCTTGGACGTTGCCCAAGGCGGCTGGCCGCCCAGGCCGCTCCAAGGCGACGCACCTAGCCATGGAAGTGCCCTGCCCTCCCTCCCTCCTCCTTTGCGGCCGCTTTCGCCTATCTTTCTTTGCGCGCGGGCGGGCCGCCTCTGCCGCGCTGCGGCGTAAAAAAGTGCGCTTCTTCCGGCGTGACGCGGAGGAGGGCGTCGAGGACACTTGTAAAGTTTTGGCTACTCTCCGACGCCTCAGACGTGGACCTCGAGCAGGCCCGTGAGCCCTGAACCTGGCTTTACGCCGCTCGCTCATCTCTCAGGAGGGAAAGTTCCACACAGACACAATGAATCGTCGATTTCTCAGAAAAAAATTTGAAATATGGGAAGTGTGGGGGGAAGACGAAATTCCTGAACATATGGGAATAGATGGGGGATCCTGGGAGTTGTGTCTACTTATTTGTGTGTCCCTGGGCTCCTTCCATCTCGGCTACATGAACCCTGAACCTGACTTAGGCCGCTCGCTCATCTCGGCGACACCCATCAGACAGATGAAGAAAAATCAGCAATTTAGTAAACTCCAGATTTCGCTTAACCCAATCAAGCATCTGGACTGAACCCTGGGCGTTTTCTTGGAGCTTCTTCGCTGTGTCGTAGAATGTTCGTGCTCCTGGACCTGGACTACTGTTTGAGAAAACGGCTGGAACGAAGTCCCTTTCTTTAGCGTAGCATGCCCTTACCTGTAAGCAGGGGTGCACACTGGAGAGTGACCCCTCGCGGGAGTAACCTTTGCTGCGCGGGATTCGCGGGGGCCAAACCCGAGCATGCAGGCTGTTATTGTCGCATCGCGTGCAAAGATCGGCAAGCCACGCATCGAAGTTGTGTCCCCGGGGTACTTTTTTGCGTGTAGCCAAATCATGCCATCTCATCTAAATCACTCCCACGCGGCCCAGCTCGAATTGAATGTCACGGATGCTGCTATACCTGGGCAGGGGCACTCTCGTTCACGTCTGCTTCACGTCAGCATGCATCGACCCTGCACCCCATCTGCTTATCAGACCCACGAGTCGTTCTCCCATAGTGGAAGCTAACACTACTGCTTGGATGTATGCGCTCAGTAGTGGCCAGCAGTTAGGTGTCGCCCTGCAGACAGGGCTCCCAGGCACCAGCGCAGGAATGGCGATCATTATGCACATGCGGAATACAGGTAGCAGCCACTCGTCAGGCTGTAAAAGCCGCTCGCATCCATCCGTAGGCGCTCGCGGGGGGATCAGGAGAAGGAGGTGGTAGGAGGAGGAGGACGAGAAGGAGGAGGAGATGGGAGTAGGAGGAGGAGGAGGCGGGAGTAGGAGGGGCATGGGAGCAAGGGAAGAAGGAAGAGGAGGAGGAGGAGGAGGAGGAGGAGGAGGACGTAGGACCCTCTCCTTATTGGGTCTGTAGGTTGGCAAGTTTGGAAGGTCCCGGTCGCAGGCCTTGCCGCAATTTTCTCAATTGCTTCTTGCATTGAAGAATCACGAGCTTGGGGCACTCCCCCTTCACATCCCGCACTGCCTGTGTAGCAATACAACCACAACGAAGACACGGCGTGCTCCCGAACTCTTTCTGATAGACCAAGGTGTTGGAGTTGCGGAGGTCTTGGCCGTTGACGGTGCTCGTTGTCGGCACTATCATCAGACTTTCAAGCAAGCCTTGGTGGCACGGGGTGTTTAAAAATTTCTCAGGCATATTGTGCGCGGCACAACCACCACAGTCATGGCAGGGACCCTGAGAATCAGCTCCCAAAACAGGATGGTTCGCCGTGGGGAGGAAAAGGAGGAGGAGGAGGAGGAGGAGGTGGAGGAAGTGAAGGGAAACGAGGAGGAGGACTAGGAGGAGGTCGAGTTGGGAGTGAAGGGGAAGATGAAGGGGGAGGATTACGGTCGAGGGGGTCTCGTCGGCGCTGCCGAGAGGGGAAGATCGCGACAGTGGTGGCATTCCCCCGAAGCCAGCCAGGTACGCCAGGGCCTGCGACGTGCCCCCGAGCGCGTTGCGCAACGCGTGATGGGCCGCGTGCTTTCAAGCCAGCAGGTGCCCCATTTTGTAGTGTAATCGTTGCGCCCACCAACGCAGCCGATCGGGTCGGGCGAAGGGGGGGGAGGGGGGGAGGGGGCGAGGTCTTCTGCATGCATGCCACTGGAGGTGGCCATCTTCTCACATTGATGGAGCATGCTCCACACGGGAGGTTGTGTGCGCTCGTGTTCCGTTTTCTCCAGGTTTTCTTGATCCACACCATCCCTTGTGTAGTCTCAGGCAGTGGGCGATGTTGGTCTGTGGTGTCGGTGATTGGAACTAGAAATCGTCGCTCTGGGATGTGATTGCCGTGCATGAGGTTTGCGAGAGAAGTTGCACACCAGTACCATTCATTCCGCGGCTCGCGTGGCTGTGCCTTCCTGCTGGTGCTGTGGGCGGGCGGTCTAGATGGGGGTCCTGAGGTACCTTGCCGTGGTGTCCTGGTTGTCTTCCGATTGTGTGCATGGGCTTACGGTTCAACTATGGTGCCCTTATTGTTCCCAACCATCTTGTGGTGTTGGGTCCTCGTTTTGAAGAAACGGTCCCCGCGTCCCTCCTCTCCTTTTCTCCTTTCCTCTCCTCTTCTCCTCTCCTCCTCTTCTCCTCCCTGCTCTCTCCTCTCGTCACCCTTTCAGTTTGGCACACCCCTCACGCGTTCCGTGGCCCCATACGGAGCTCCACCTAGGGCCCCAATGGCGCAGTTCGCATGGCGGCGCCGCCCCATTTTGGCACCCCCCTCACACGCTTCGTGGCCCCATATGGAGCTCCACTTAAGGGCCCAGTGGCGCAGTTCGCATGGCGGCGCCGCCCCATTTTGGCACACCCCTCACACGTTTCGTAGCCCCATAGGGAGCTCCATTGCAGGTCCCAGCGGTGCAGTTCGCATGGCGGCCCCGCCCCATTTTGGCACACCCCTCACACGTTTTGGTGGCCCCATACTGCGCCGATCCGAAAGTTTCCCCAATTTCGCCACCGTGCTCGCCGCGGCCATCTGGGGTGGCGCGCGCAGGATAAGACTCCCAATGGTACTGGTGCTCTGGCCGCCGCGCCGGCCACTGGGGCGCCGCCGCGCGCGGCTAGGCTGGACTGTTGTTTTAGCAGGGGGGGCTTCGCTTGAAAATGCCACTGGGCCTTCGAACGCAAGGACCGTGCAGGTCATGTGTTTGGCGGTGGTTTCATCAAGATCCCAATTGTACTGCATGCGCTCGACGTGCCAGCGCCTGCATGATTGCAGTATTGCTTGTTGCGTGATTGCGTTATCGTGAGATTTCCTCTTCACGTCGGAATGGTGCTCTGGCCGCCGCGCCGGCCACTGGGGCGCCGCCGCGCGCGGCTAGGCTGGACTGTTGTTTTAGCAGGGGGGGCTTCGCTTGAAAATGCCATTGGGCCTTCGAACGCAAGGACCGTGCAGGTCATGTGTTTGGCGGTGGTTTCATCAAGATCCCAATGGTACTGCCTGCACTCGACGTCCCAGCGCCTGCATGATTGCAGTATCGCTTGTTGCGTGACTGCGTTATTGTGAGATTTCTTCTTCACGTCGGAATGGTGCTCTGGCCGCCGCGCCGGCCACTGGGGCACCGCCGCGCGCGGCTAGGCTGGACTGTTGTTTTAGCAGGGGGAGCTTCGCTTGAAAATACCACGCCGATCCGAAAGTCTCCCCAATTTCGCCACCGTGCTCGCCGCGGCCATCTGGGGTGGCGCGCGCAGGATAAGACTCGCGGGGCCCGAGGGCGGACGGGGGCGATGTCGCGAGGGCGGAGTCGGCGCGCCGATGGGCAGCCCAGCGCCCCGTTTGGCCAGAGGGGCCCAGTACAATGCAAGGGCAGAGCCTAAACCCCGCCCGCGGTCGCGGGATCGGGTTCCCCTTCCCAATTGAAATTCTGAAATCCCAAACGGTGTACTGACCCGAAAATGAGCAAACGGCATAGGACCTCCTCGAAAAAGCTTTCTGGATCGTTCATGCGACGACCCGAAAAGTTCACCGGCCGACCTGAATGCGGCCAAATCCCATTGGTCTTGTGCCCAACAAGAAATTCGGGCCGGGTTCGAACGACCCGAAAATGTGCAAACCCCTTAGGACTCTTTGCAAAAACGTCGTTCTCGAGGTCCTCGGGCCCACTCCGAAGAAACCGAACATGGGCAGACCGCCTAGCACTTCCGATCAAAAACGGTTTTTCGGCGGTTCCGGGCCTCGTCCGAAGGAGCCGCCGATGGGCATACCGCCCAGGAGTTCCTGCGCAAGAAACGGTTTCCCAGGTGAGCAACTGCCAACGGGAACGCGCTCCGCGCGGGATCGTGGTTCGCCCGGGGGCGCGGCTGCTCTCGCCTGTCCAGGGGACATGCATTGCCGCGCCCTTCGAGCATAGCGTTTGCGCTGCATTCGCGCGGCGCCGTGCCTGTCAAATCGGAATAAACTTTCGGGGCGCCGATGGGCCTTCGAACGCAAGGACCGCGCAGGCCATGTGTTTCGCGGTGGTTTCATCAAGAGGCCAATGGTACTGCATGCACTCGACGTCCCAGCGCCTGCATGATAACAGTATTGCTTGTTGCGTGATTGCGTTATCGTGAGATTTCTTCTTCACGTCGGAATGGTGCTCTGGCCGCCGCGCCGGCCACTGGGGCCCCTTCCGCGCGCGGCTAGGCTGGATTGTTGTTTTAGCAGGGGGGGGCTTCGCTTGAAAATACCATTGCGCCGATCCGAAAGTTTCCCCAATTTCGCCGCCGCGCTCGCCGCGGCCATCTGGGGTGGCGCGCGCAGGATAAGACTCGCGGGGCCCCAGGGCGGATGGGGGCGATGTCGCGATGGCAGAGTCGGCGCGCCGATGGGCAGCCCAGCACCCCGTTTGGCCGGAGGGGCCCAGTACAATGCAAGGGCAGAGCCTAACCCCCGCCCGCGGTCGCGGGATCGGGTTCCCCTTCCCAATTGAAATTATGAAATCCCAAACGGTGTACTGACCCGAAAATGAGCAAACGGCATAGGACCTCTTCGAAAAAAACTTTCTGGTTCGGTCATGCGACGACCCGAAAAGTTCACCGGCCGACCTGAATGCGGCCAAATCCCATTGGTCTTGTGCCCAACAAGAAATTCGGGCCAGGTTCGAACGACCCGAAAATGTGCAAACCCCTTGGGGCTCTTTGCAAAAACGTCGTTCTCGAGGTCCTCGGGCCAACCGAACATGGGCAGACCGCCTAGCACTTCCGATCAAAAACGGTTTCTCGGTGGTTCC